TGAGCCACTGGAATCCAGAGGCCAAAGGCCTCTGTGGCTCCCAGCCCCCGAGTCTGGTCCCAGCTCCAGCAGCCCGAGCTCTCCCACTTGACCAAGACTAGGCCGTGGTTTCCATATCTGCAAGCTGGATGGAGGGCTTTTGATCAGGCCATGCCCTATGAACAGGCGCTGGGGTGACAAAACTTTCACTCAGTCCCCACAGAAGGAGAGGAGACCCAGGGGGCTTTCCACAGAGCTGGCCAGAGTCCCTGTCAAATGCTCTTTTATTCTGAGACAGTGTCCTGCCCGTAACTTGGGTCATTACAAGGTCCGTCGCATCTATGAGATGGTGACAATCCCAGAGTGGCGGGCTGGATGTGTCTGTTCTTAACTCTCCCTTAGCAGTGTAGAAACTGAGAACGCTCCCTGAGCAAGGACTATGACCAGAAGCTGGCCTCGGTGTCCTCGGTTTCTCCTGGCCATCCTGAAGCCTCATGGGGTGAGGTCCCAGGTTCTTGAGAATGTGATGAAATCCTGGGGGCTGCTTCCTGAGCCCATCAGCTCCCCACTTTGCTAATGCTGCAGCAGCTCGGGAAGAGACACCATGGGGTCTAGGCAGAGACAGGGAACCTGAGACGTACACTAAGACACCCACCATGGGGACCTGGCCCTCAACATCCAACCTAACAGAGCCAGAGGTCAGCCCACCGACCAGGCTCTGCCCTGGGCAGCTGGAAGCCCAGTAGGGTCAAGCCTCTGCAACCCTGGCAGGACCAGCATGAGGACCAACCCATGGGCCCTCTTCAAGGTCACCTGGCCAACATGTGCTCTTAGGGCTCCAGGCCCATCCAAGCACAAGGTTCCTGTGCCCTTGTACCTGTCACATGCCATTCCCAAGCACGTCCCCAACACCCGATGAGGAGACCACAAGGACCTGGAGTGGAGAACCAGAGGGAAGGAGAGAAAGGGAAGAAGGCACACAGAGGGGCTGCCTCACCCCAGACGTCTCAGCAGCAACACTCTGCTTTGAGCAGCCCTGGGCTTCAGGGACCTACTTCCCTGGGTTCTCTTCCCTCTCTGGCACCAGGCAAGCATCCTCTACACCTGGTTCTGGAAAGCTAAGGGTCAGTGGACCAGATGTCCTGGGTCCCCTCCTCTCTTGAGGCCAGGGCATACCTGCAACACCAGTTCAACAGCCCCTTCCTCCCAGGAGTCCTCCCTAGCTACAGGCATGAACACATACACCGCTGGGGCAGGTCTGTTTCCCAGCCTACATGATTTCTTCCTTCCCTGAACTCCCCAGCATGGGGTACAAATGACTACCCCTCCTCCTAGGACCAGCAGAACGGGACAGGCCGAGGCCCACTCCACTCTCCCCCTGCTGCCTGACAGACTCAGTGTCTGTGAATGAATGAACAGATGGCATCACGTGAGTCCAGCAGCTCCCCAGGTAGACCGAGATCCAGGAAGTGGCCTGGGGCCCTGCAGCCCTGCAGAGGAGCTACAAGCTCAGCCCTTCCTCTCCAGAAAGCTCTGGAGGAAACCACATCTCCCCTGCAGCTAACTTGAGAGCCCTGAGGCTTCCAGTCCTACAGCCTGCAGGGGCCCAGTCAGCAGCATGCCGCTGTACCCTGGTGTGGCTCAGGCAGCTGTGGGCCTGGACACTCCCTGCCTCTCTGTCACCCTGGGCAAAGAGGACAACGACAGTTAGCACTAGGCCTTTAGTGCAGGCCACAGAGGTTCCCACGGGTGTAGGAGGCCTGGGCTGACAACGGGATGGCTGTGGGGTGAGGGTCCTGGTGCCCACAGGTGGCACAGGGCAGCAGGCAAGAGATTCAAGCAAAATACTGGGCTACCTTCTTCTTGGGGCTACTGAGAGGAGCCTGGGTTCCTCCTCCTGGACAGGGAGGTGGCAATAATTACCCCAGCAGAACGGAACTGCTTTTCTTTCCTGAGCACAGTCCATACTGATTTCCATAGAGATATCTACATGCAGCATAGAGCGCTACTCTGCTATAGAGAAAGGCAAATCTGAGGCGCCTGTAGGAAAGCGGAGGGGCTTTGAGACAATAACGTTAAGCTAAGTAAGTTGGACACAAACCTTAAAGATCCCACAGATTCTCTTCTAAGAGAAACCCAAGGTATGAAGAACAAAACGATAGATCATAGGAAGCAGGGAGACAGAGCTTCTGCCAAAGCAAAGGGGAGCAAGAGATGAAAGGAATGGAAGGCGGGAAGGGGCATCCTGCCCTGCACCCACTGCCCAAAGGAGCATGACCGCTACGTACCACAAGCACGGACTTGGGGAGATACGGGCACATCACAATGACCCAGGAGCCTCCCGCAACCCACTGGGGGAAGCCCACGCAGAAAGAATACAGGGCTGGGCCACTGTCTCACAGGTCACTGTCACAACTGGGACCCATGCCTTGTCTCCTAGCCCTTCAGACCTGGTCCCCAGGTTGGACCCAGCTCCCTCTTGCCTCTGCCTCAACCTCCCCTGGAGCCGCCCTCCAGCCTAAAGGTCTCTGATCCTGGGAAGTCAGAGTCGTAGGTGACCCCTCCCACCCTGCTTGGTTGTGTGGCCACTGCTGGCCAGAAGCCTTAGGGGCCCAACACGGATTCATCAAATTGTTATGGTCTGATAGGGGAGGTGGGGGAGCTGCAGGGAGAAAAAGGGCTGAGATTTTCTCCTTCCCACGGGATAGGTACTGAATAAATGCATGAATGAGTGAATGAATGAATGAGTTGGTGTGGTCCTTCAGGGCCTCCTTCAGAGCCCGAGGCTGAAAAATTCACTATTAGCATGCACGGCATGAGCCTGTAATCAGAGCACTTGGGAGGCCAAGGCAGAAGGACTGCTACCAATCCAAGGCCTCTAGTGAGTTCATTCCAACCTACACTACCCAGCAAAACACTGTTTCAAAACAAGGATAGATAGCAGACTCTTCCTCCAAAGCAGTTGTGGAGATCACACTGTCCTCTGCAGGAAAGGGGACAACACAAGTAACAGCTAGAACAAGCTACCACCGCAGCTTGTGGGAGCCAGCAGAACCCTCAAGGTGACCAATAAGCAGGCTTTTGTTATCCCCATTTTGCAGCCAAGCAAACCCCTCCTGAGGGCTTTTTGTAGGAGGAGGGCTGGAGAACTGGTTTCCACTACCTAGGGGTTGTGCACCCTGCTGATCCAGCAACCTGCACCCCAACTTCAGCTCCAAGCCCCGCAGGGGAAGGATAAGCGGCCTGCAGCTGCAGACTGGGGAACACCCAGGGCAGGCCCCACAGCACCCCCAGGGTGCCCCTCCTTCCTCCTGCTCCCGGCCCCACCTCCCAGCTGAGAAACTTGCAGGAGGGGCCCAGGCCACATGTTCCTAAGCCAAGTCCTCTCTGCCTTTGTTCTCCCTCCGGAACAGCTTTCTCCTAATCAGTGGGAAACTGCCCGCACAGAGCCAGCAGCCAAGAAAGTCCTGGAGAAACACGACCATCTTTCCAACACCAGCCTTCTCTCTCCCTCCCACCCTCACCAAAGCCCAGCAGGATCCACAGACACAAGACAGACAGTCACTGCCACGCGGCCTGTGCCCACATGAGTTCTGGCAGATCGGCCAAAGAGGCCCCCTCTCCACTGCCTTTCTGCGGCTGCTGAAAACTGCAGCTCCCTCGAGGACCACAGTTCTCATGGATGTGGGGGCAGTGAAAGCCTCAGCCTTAGAAGGCTGCAGGCTGCAGAGGGCAGGAAAGGGGCTTTGCAAACCTTCCAGCTCTGTTGTCCGCCACTCCAGGCCGGGGAGTCTGGAGCTGCCTGCCCAGGCAAAGCCAAATAGCACAGGAATAACTTTCCTCCAACTCTGGCCAGGAAATAAGTGGGGGGCTGGAGGTTCTTGGGCTGCCTGGAGCCCAGCTACACCTTCTCCCTGGATCTCCATTTCCTGCATAAGGCAGGGTCTCCAAGGCCCCTTCCGTTTCCAGCAGGAGTCTGGCCTGTCCTTGTCCCTGTCCCCCCAGCTCAAGGCCTCTCTAGTTTTTACTGCTCCTGCCTGTCTGGAATGTTGTCCACCCTAGCCCGTGCCAACTCTGGCCTAGGCACCACCTCATGAGCTTGCAGGGACTGGCACGGCCTGTGGGGGCCCACATTGAGTCCTGTGTGTCTCCTAATACCCAGGACGCACCCCGGAGGGAGCCAGGGCATGAAGTCCCCAGCTCCTTGGGGGTGGAGCTTGAGAAGACTGCAGGAAGGAGTAATCAGTCTCTGCAGGGCCTCTCCTTAAAGCCCTGCAGGCCTTGGCTGGGACACCTGACCTCTTGACCACACAGAGGAGGGGGTGGTCAGAGCAGTCAAAGAAAACCAGACTGAGCCTGGGATAAAGAATCTGAGAGTCAGGGGTGGTCTCACCTCAGAACCCTGGAGAAAGATTCCCGAGGGTCAGGCCTGGCTTAGGGCCCGAGAAGCCTGGGGTCAGCAGAGAGGTCAGATGTCCTGCTGGACTGCCCCACCCACTGTGACCCTGGCCTCGGGCGGAGCAGGGCGCAGCCTGGGTGGGCACTCTCTGGGGGCTCCCTTTAGCTGGGGAGGGGCTCTGGCTTGTAGATCTGCTAGAGAACCCCATCCCCCTTGCCATGGGATGGTGGACTTGGAAGTGGTCTCTTCCCTTCCCTGCTGCACACGGAGCCCGGCAGACACAGAAGTGGCTAGGTCCCCACAGCCTACTGCACCCCTCGAACATCACCCTGATTCCCGACGACTGGGCTCTCTCCCCTCAGCTTGCACCTCAGCAAAATGGGTACAACGCGCCCACGTGGGGTCGGTCAGACTCGGAGGCGTCCAGTGTGGGGCACTCCGCCTGCCTCACCCAGGGGTCCGCATCCGCACCGGGGTGGGCGCAGGGCGGAGCGGAGGCCCCCTGGAGGATGGGTTTGGGGAGCGGGGTTCCCACTGCATCGCGGTGGATCCAGGAAAAGGGAGGGGACGTCGCCCGGCCTCCCTGCTGTTCAGAACCCCTTGCGGGCAGGGAGTGCCCTACCTTGGGCCACCAGCAGCGACAGACTGCTGAGCAGCAGCAGCGGCGACAGCAGGACCGGACTCACGTGCTCCATGGGGCCGGCGGAGGCAACAACGGCAGGGACAAAGGCGCTGGTCCCGAGCTGTGCTTGGCCGAGGTCGGCAGCACCGCTGGGCCGGGCCGCGCGGTTCAAGTATCCCGCCCTGGGGGCGCGGCGGGGCGGGGCCTCCAACTTCCACCCTCCGCCCCAGACCCGCCCTCCGCCCTGGCCCGGTGGGGCGCCGCGCACTCTCTGCAGGGCTGCGGAAGGGGGCGCCTTCGGGCCTGGCTCCGGTGCCCTCGAAACCTGATCTCTCCATGGCCCGTGTTGCGGTTGGACCGAAGACCCGGGCCGAGAAAAAGCCTTGCCTTGCCAGTCCCCATCGGGGTCCCCGCGGGCCAGGCCCGGACCCTTGGTGTGCACGTGGACAGGCTGGGCAGCTCCGTGCTGATACGGGCCTTCCCACCTGGGATGGGGCGCCAGCAACGGCCCAAATGACACCCCAACACCATAGGCACTCGGAAGCCCAGGCCTAAAATAGAGCTTTGCTTCTCGAGGTCGCAGGGGGAGTGTAGGTTGTAGTTGGCCTGGAGCACCGAGAAGTCTGGGAAACCATGGAGATTCATTCGTATAAAACACAAGACCTCAAAACACTCAGTGCAGAGATACGGGGATCCCAGGGACAGGCCGTAGGAAACTCCATTTCCTCAAATGAAGGGGTCGTGAGAACGCGGTTCCGCTCCTAGAACCGTGCCTACAGAAATACAAAGACACTGTGTTCCCAGTGGCCGTGGTGGTCACAGCGCCCAAGGGGCCCAGCATGGGCTCTGAAAGAATCGGAACCCACCACTTATTCCAAGGATGGCTTCAACTTGTTTAAATATATCAAGCTATTCGCCTATACAGTGTGCCCGTTTCTCCTCCCTTGCCTCTTTAGAGATGGAATCTCTCTGTTGCCCCAGCTAGCCTCAAACACATGCGCTTGAGCAGTCTTCCTGCCTCAGCCTCCTGTGTAGCTGGGACTGTAGGTGTGTCCCTGTGCCCAGCTGTCCACTGCTGAGTGGATGTCAAATTTAAGTCCAAGAGATGAGATGCCCGTTTCCCCCACAAGATGCCTCCTAGGCTGGGTTTGCTGAGAGCCCAGTGGAGCTGCTGAAAAGGGCAGGCTGGCTGCTGCCTCCCAGCAAGCAGGCTGGCCAGGCAGGGGGCAGAAGTGGCCTCCCCTCCTGCTCCTCTTGTCTCCCTGCAGGGGGAGCCAAAGGTGGGGGCTGCACATGGCCGTGAACCTGGGAGGCTCCCATAACAAATGTGGCAGGGGCAGGGTCCCCTAAAGGAGTGCTGTCGTTTGCTCACTGTTAGCCACTGTAGTGGGGATGACTGTGCCCTGACCTCCTCACTCTCTGCCCAGCCGTGACAGGTCCCTTCCTGGGCCTTAGTTTTCCTATCTGCAAAATGTAGGGGGTGGACCAGCCTGATTTGGGGGAGACCTCAGACCCCACCTTCCAGGCCGACAGTAGGCCCCCTTTTCTGGCTCTGGGTGGGCCTCCATCTCAGATCCCCAGGAATAGATCAGAGGCCTGAGACTCTCAGGTGAACTATGCCGGGTGTCAGGGAAGGTAAGCCACGCGGCTCTGTGTGCGCTACATTCTGGTCCAGTGTGCCCAATGTGTGCAGAGTCCTGGCCTCTCTGTCCCCACATATCTTGGTTGTGTCTGTTTTCAGCAAGCAACCGTGAGGGCTAAAGTTACACCTCCCTCGTACAAGTTTGCCCTAAACATGGTAAATTCCCTGGGATAGCCATCAGGATCCAAATGGAGCCACTCGTGTCAGAGCCAGGAAGAACAACAGATGCAACTGGGAGGGTGTGAAGGAGGGGACCTCCCTCCTGAGACCTCCCTCTACTGCCTGCGAGACGCCAGTAACTGTCACAGGCCACCACGCCCATCACGGCCTTGCCCAGAGGCCATCTGCTCCAAAAGAAAATCCTTCCACACGGACACCTACAACCAGGCCTGTCCCTCTCTTGTCCCTGATCCTTGTTGCCAGGGATTATTGACTCTAATTACGTGTGCAATCCTCCTTGTTTTGCCTTTCAAAACTTACCCTTACCTCTGACTCCTTAAGTAAACTCCGAGTTTACCATGGCACTGGCGCTGCCCCTGCAGTGTCGCCCCCGAGTGCTCTGGCTTCGAGATCTCTCTCTGTTACTCAGACCACATCCCCAAGCCCTGAGTTCCCTGAGTCAAGCAGCCTGTCATGTGTGCAGGCACCGTGATGGGCGCTTGTATCTGTCTCTTGTATGTGGGCCAGGAGTCTCAGGATGAGAGACAGACAGTCCTGGGGGTTGAGGCTACTTCCTGTGACCCCTAGCCCCCGAATTATCGGACAGCTGCTTTGTATCTGAGCTTCTGCGTCCCACGAAGCATCTGGTCTCACGAGAGCTCCTGTGTGCACCCCGTGAGTGGGCCTTGTGAAGGTTGCGTGGGGACCTATTTAGCCACGGTCTCGTGGACTCTGCGGTTGCTTCCATTTTGCACAGTTAGAAATCCCAGTGCCGTGGGAGTTGTGTGCCCCTGTGGCCCAGTCTTATGTCATCACTCCTACACGGATGCCCCGAATGAGGAATTGCCGCAGCTAGAAATAGCTGAATTCAAATTCCAGGAGCGCTGGGTGACATTGCTTAGCGCGGGCCATTTCCACGGGTGGGAGGAGCACTGTCTTGCTTCGGTATATGTCCTTAATCATCAGTGATGATGGAACATTCCTCCTGAGCCCTGCGCCATTTGTATTTCTCTCTGTGTAACTCGTCTCATAACTTTTACTCATGTATTATCACAGCAGAATTTCCACGAGAGAAAATCTAGAGTGCGGTGTAACGTCCAGGACTGACCTGCTCACGGAACACCGCGGTGCAGTGATTTGAGGGCACGCTGCACTGCTGTGAAAGGGCCGGCGAGGGCACCAGTATTGGTGAACTAACATCGTGTGAAAACAGAAAACCAAACCAAGTGTGAGTGTGCAATTCCAAGTGACAGTGACATTCACTCGGTTAAGGGGTAGAAGAAAAGAATGGAAGTGGACATTGTGCTTGATAACTGAAATGCTTGCTTTTAATTTCTTAAAAATGTCTTCAAGTATTTTCTGGGAGCAATTGAGATGGGAATAGTTGCGCCAGAAACCTGGGGTGATATGATTACAGCACCTGAGCGTGACCCTGGCTTTCCTGGCAACCAAAGCACGCAATCAAATTATGATCGCTGCTGCCATTCCCATTTTCTAACCAAAGAAAGTGAAGCATGTTATCGGGAGAGACGGAGTTGTTTCTGGCACTAAACTGATCGTTTTTCCTTCTGGGTCTTTACATAAGAGGAAAAAGACCCGCGGGTCGCACATTAGCTCACAGCTGGGGGGTGGGAGACTGGTGTCCAGAGCAGCTCCCTGCAGGGGATCAGGAGGGGCAGCCCCCACCCCCTCCCGGGTCCTGGGTGAGATCACACACCCCCTCGGGAGCTGCCCTGAGCAGGAAGTCATTTATTACAGCCCACAGGGTCAGTGGGTCCAGCTTTCTCCTCGCTGGAGGAGGCAGGCTGCAGAGCACTCCTTCCTGGTGGCCAGCAGCTCTGTTTTGAGGCTCCCCGCGGGCCCTCTGGGCTGCATCTCCCCAAGTTAGGAGAGGGATGGCCTGGCACTGCCGGCCTCTGGGTTCCCTACCTGCAGGGCTGAGAGCAGCAGGCCCCCCGGGCCCTGGCCACTCCTCCAGGTGCAGCGCCCCCTCGAGCCCCTCACTTCCTGCTCAGTGTCCACTGCCCCCGGCCTTTGCGGGCCCCAAAGCGCCCCAGTCCCCACCTCTCTACCTCTCTACTGGATGGTCCCAAATGCTGGAGCCTTCTTCTAGGCCCCGTGATGTCCACCTGAGCAGTGGCTCCTTCCTGTCCTTCCAGTCTCAACCCAAGCCCCTCTGAGACGGTGTTTCCTGCACACCACGCTGGCCACATTCCCTGCCATGCACCCCGCACAACACTGCTCCCCCACCATGTGATTCTTCATGTGTTTACTCGTGTGTTAATTGCCCGTTCCTGAGGACAGGGACCAAGTGTGCCTGTGTCCTGGGCACACACTTCCTGCATGAGAGCTCAGATGAGCAAGGTAGTTCCTAGCAACCAGCCACACTTCCTGCGGGGGCCAGGGGTGACATCGCCACCACCACCCGGCCTCTGTGGCCCTCCCCCATGCCTGTCCCACCTGCACATGGTTCCAGACCACCCAGCCGGCTCTCTTGAGCCTCCGCAGCTGCTCTCACCCCAAGCGCCCACTTGGCATGTGTACTCCACACAGTGGTGCCCGTTAGGCCATGTTCCTTGTTCCAGTAAACGGTAGGGGTGACTGCTCTGCCCACTCAGGGCATCTCCAACGTGCTCTTTTCCTTCACAGCAATCCTCCACATCCAGGGATAACCCCATGACATCTGGTGACAAGGGGGCACTCTGGGGGCTGAGAAAACAGCAGGAAGTAGTCAGAGGGCTTCCTGGAGGAGGGGACCCAACACGGGCACCAAAACCATCCTCAGGATGGGGAGAAATGAAGCAGGTTCAGGGCCTCAGTGTTGGTTGAAGATATGGCACGGCAGGCAATGTCCACATGCAGAGGAGGGGTGTTGGGCTCAGCTTGGGCTGGGGACAGAGGTGGCCAGACAAGGGTTTGCGAGGTTGCCAGAGCCACCCCAGGCTGGGTGGCCTGTGGATGGTGGTACCTGTCCCAGGGGTTTGAAGTAAGCTTAGGTGCTTGGCAAGAGCCAGCTGCATGCTCAGTTCCCTGACCCAGGCCACCTTAAGCTTCTATGGTGGACTGACTGATGGGCAACTTGTGGCACCCAGCTGTCCCACGTCAGCATGGTGCCGGGGGCAGAAGGCCCACCTGAGGGTTGTCGCCAACAGCATAAGAGAACTGGAAGGGCAGATGGTGCGCTGTGGATTCTCCTGGAGGAGCTTGACATGCTGGCTTTCCTATACGAACTCGGCTGTTATGGTCAGAGGAAGCAGGCCCTCGCTGTCGCTGAGGATGGCTGCGGTTCTTCCAGGGGAGCCCTAGGCTTTACTCCGCACATCACTTCCTGGCTCCCGTGCAGACACCTTGGCTCCTGTGCTG